CCCCAAAACCCCAAAACCCCAAAACCCCAAAACCCCTGTAATTCAATGTATTAATGAATTTGATTTTTATTAAAATATTCTCTTTTCGTTAAACATGGAGTCAACAAAATCAATATTCTCGCAAGGTATGCTTCTAGATGCGCCCTTAACATATTTCTAATATTTTAAGAATGTTTAATTATGAATTTAGACGGCGTAGGCAGCAAAGAGAGCAAATTTAGCGGATGTGACAGTCCAACATCAATACGAAATAAAGATGTTGAAGGGTACTTGAGACCGTAAGATAATTTATGATAAAGTTGGAATTTATTATAGCGCTAGAAGCATTTTATCCAATGGGCCAGTTTTTGAATGTCAAAACTCCCACCCATTGGATATCATGAGAAAGATCGCACAGTATAAGCGCAGCCATGGACTTCTAGGTTCTCACTTTACTGAAGACCAGGTATTTTTAATAATTAATATAGACAATTGATCTTATCCATGATTTACCGTTTTTCAACGAACCTGATATTGTCCAAAAGAACAAAGAGCTAATCAATGAATCTTTATGGAGTAATGTAGCTGATTTTATCCTCCATTCTAAAACAGGAGAGATAAAATAACTACATGGATGACAGGAATGGGATCGAAAATCTTCCCTTCGTGTTCAAGAAAATTGATTCCAACTTCAAGATGAGGAACACCATTAGAAAAAGCAGAAGAATTGGGTTCAATAATGAATCAACTATGTTATTTTCCCCCTTAAAAAGTATTCATAAATCTTCAAGTAAACTTTCAAGAATAATTGAGCCACTGCTATTGAAAAAGGAGTCTTCAAAGAGTATTTTTGCTAGGAATTCTTCCCAGGTGACTAAACCAAATCAACAAAGGTAGAAGATTTATTACGAAACTCAATAATTTCAGTGAAAGTTTATCTGAACATTCCTTCTATCCTCATTTTCAAAGCAATCAACACTAAATCTGTGACATAGAAGATGGAAGAAAGCACAAACAAAAGGAGCAAAAAGTCGTTGTTACCAGGTACTTTTAAACAAGTTTCCATTTTTGTCAAATTTAGGATAAGGATCTTGATTTTGAACGAAAATATTTGAGAAATCTAACTGTTTAGCAGACTATAACATCCAGAAAACCTGGGAGTAGCACTTCAATGCAAAAATTTAGGGAGAACTTGCCGGATACATTAGCTTTCAAGAGGAAGCATGCCAACTGAAGAATGTTTAGCGTAGAGCCTGAGAAATGAAGTGAAGAAGAAAAGTCTTTTTCTGATGACTCCTCTGAATCAAGAAGAATAATTGAAGACAAACCAAATTCTACCACTAAAGGTCCGAAAAAGAAATAAAGTAAATAAGCTAGTGAAGAGGAGGAAAGCAAATACACTAGGTACAGCAAGGACGAATTTTCAGAGAAATAAGCCATTGAGGGAGCGAGCATTTGGAGTTTCCAAGAAATCCGTAACTCTAATGGTATTTGTTGTATTAAAAGTAATTTAGAATGAAGAATTTTTATGATCATCTCCTCCAAGACCAACTGTAATCCCTTCATATTCACCCTTGTAGGCTACAGCTTTAATGAGGAAAAGAGTGAGAGCGGTCTCTCCTAAAGTAGTTATCAACAAATACAAAATACTCAGGAAGATTAAGCATATTGAGCAAAATGGTAGCCCATTTGCAAAGCCTTTAGCTTAATAAAATCTAAATTCACGATTCTTTTATATTGTTATATAAAATAATGCACCCTTCAAGATGTCGGTTAAAGCCAGGGGTTTTGGGGTTTTGGGGTTTTGGGGTTTTGGGG